CCTTTTGAAAAGTCTACAAGAGGGACTTCCCCGGTGGCGCAGCAGTTAAGAGTCCACCTGCCAATGCAGGGGACACAGGTTCAATCCCTGGTTCGGGAAGATCCCACATGCCGCGGAGCAACTAAGCCTGCGCTCTAGAGCCCGTGAGCCACAACTACTGAGCCCACGTGCCACAACTACTGAAGCCGGCACGCCTAGAGCCCTGCTCCTCAACAAGAGAAGCCACCTCATTGAGAAGCACGCGCACCTCAATGAGAAACAGGTGCACCGCAATGAAGAGTGGCCCCCGCTCACTGCAACTAGAGAAAGCCTGCATGCAGCAATGAAGACCCAACGCAGCCAAGAGTGAATAAGTAAAATAAATAAATTTGTAGAAAGAAAAAAGTCTGTGAGAGATTGGATTTCTTGATGGTGCAGCATTTCTTTGTAAATATTCATAAAGCAAAGATGCCATTCTTTTTTTGAAAAATAATTGACAATTCAGCCATTTTCGATGCCCAGTTCAATGATTTTTAGTACATTCACAGAATTGTGCATCCATCACCACAATCAAATTTAGAATATTTTCATTTTCTCAAAAAGAAACCCAAAAGAAATAAAATGGAAAAGAAAAAGAAACCCACACCCCTAAACCATGGATCTCATTTCCTCCCAACCTCCCCAGACCTAGACTAAAACTAATTTACTTTCTGTCTCTATAGGTTTGTTTCTTCTGGACATTTCATATAAATGGAATCATACAATATGTGGTCCTTTGTGATAGGCTTCTTTAACTTAGCATGTTTTTCAAGGTTCCATGTTGTAGCATGTGTCAGCACTTCATTTTTTTATTGCCAAATAATATTCCATTGTATAGATACACCACATTTAATTTATTAAATTATCAATTGATGAACATTTAGGTTGTTTCTATTTTTGGCTATTATAAACAACAGTGCCATTCTGCGGCTGTATTTATGTTATTTTTATTATACTAGCTTATGGATGTGATTAGCTTTGCAAATATTTGTCACCAAGGAGCCTGGTTCAGGGTGAGTTTACCACTTCCTATAGTGTAAATCAAGATGGAGGTAAACATGGGTGCTTTTGGTATATGGGTAGTGTTATGTATGTGTAACCTGCAGGGGAAGCCTCAATTATAATACACAGAGAGAATTTTTCTCTAGTGATTCCTAAGTGGGATCATGGTCCATTTCAACCATTTAATTTCTGAATAGAAGAGAGTAGAGGTAATAATTTAGACCCTTACCAGTTGGGTATGATTTTTCCAAAGTCCCTTCCTGGGGAATTTAACATTCTAAGAAGGGATGAATTCAGGACAAATAATTACAAAGCACAAAACAAAAGTACCTTGAAGAAATCTTGAGAAATCTCTTCCTAAGTGAAAGGAGGATAGGAAGAAACTTTTGGATTTAATCTTACAGGATGTTGCAATTCAAAGACCATTAAATTGTGCATAATGTACAATCCTCTTTTGCCAGACAGAGAAGTTTCCTGATTGTACTCTTGAGATATTATGAAGCATTTCTAAGGCTGCTATTAAACTAGAGAATTGTGAATTGGTAGTTTTTCAAATAAGTTACTCCAGACCTCAGTCTGGTCTAAAGCTTCCTGTTTTTACAATTAACTCCTCATGTTTCTTTGTTGAGTATGTGTGTGTGTGTGTGTGTGTGTGTGTGTGTGTGTATGTGCGCGCGCGCGCGCGTGCGCGTGCACATGTAAAACCTAAAGATAGACCAGGAAGCATCTGGGGCCATCTGGTTCTAAAGGGGAATCCAGATTTCTGTGAGGTCTAGCTACTAAATGTAAAGAGGATAAACAATGTATTTTATACAACTCCTGTGCTAACCCCTCAGCCATTACTGTCCAAAATGCCCTTAACTTATAGTTGGTGTTAAACTTTATGGGTTTTTCATTTATGAATGAAGCAGGTTGGTCTGTCTTAAGATAAATCACGTTATAGGCAATGAACACTTCCATGTTGTTTAGCGAAGCTTCTGAGGGATTACAAAGAAAAGTGGACATGTCAGGCATTGGGCTGTTCCTGAAAGCAATGCTTCCTTCTTGGTGCCTGTTCACTCTTTGTCCATGTTTCCAGATAAAGGATTGTGATTAAGAAAGAGTCATCAAGAGCAGAAGGAAAAAATTGCTAGCAACCAAGATGACCCAAGGCTTGTGTACTGGCCAGGGCAATACAAGATTCTACTCTGTATACCACCTAGCAAAGTGCCACATGAATGCATCCTAATTTTAATTAAGATGATTTCTCTGTTCTCCAAAGCAAGAGTCCTTCTGCTGCAACCAAAGTAAGAGAGGTTACATTTCAAGTTTTTTCCTCAAGATTCTTAATTTGAGGGGAATAATGATGAAAACAACACCGATAACATTTATAAAGCACTTACTATAGGTTGCCATTTAATTTAACTCTATTAATTTAACTCTGCTTTACACATGAAGAAAGTGAAGTGCAGAGAGGTTGACAGACTTGCCTAGGCTCACACAGCTGGTAAGTATCAGAGCCTGGATTTGAATCCCGCAGAAGATTCTAGAACCCAGGCTCTTAACAACCTAATTAAGAAATTGTGCTGTTCTTAATTCAGTGCTATGATAAAAACATTTTTTTGTTATTTTTGGCTGCTTTGGGTCTTTGTTGCTGCATGAGGACTATCTCTAAATGTGGCGAGCGGGGGTTACTCTTCACTGCAGTGCATGGGATTCTCATTGCCGTGGCTTCTCTTGTTGCGGAGCATGGGCTCTAGGCGTGTGGGCTTCAGTAGTTGTGACAAGCGGGCTCAGAAGTTGTGGCTCACAGGCTCTAGAGCGCAGGCTCAGTAGTTATGGCACACGGGCTTAGTTGCTCTGCGGCATGTGGGATCTTCCCGGACCAGAGCTCGAACCTGTGTCCCCCGCACTGGCGGGTGGATTCTTAACCACTGTGCCACCGAGTAAGTCTGACAAAAACAGTTCTACTGCTAATTTAAAATATAAGTACTCAAAGTAGATGTAAATGTAAGCACACATTGTAAAACTATAATACTATATTTTCTCAAAAAAAATTTGTTTTGCATGTCATTCTGTCCCAGGGAAAAGGTTTTTATTTTCCTTCAAAATGAGGAGGAGTAACATTTGATTTTGCTGGGGAACTGTTAAAATTACTTTGATGGTTCTAGTCGTGCACAGCATTGAGATTTATAACAAATATGTAATCTGTTTATTTGTCACCCAACTTGGATGACTTCCAAATGTTTCCTCTTAGTAGCTCTTGATTTTGTTTGGATTTTTTTCAATCACCAAATAGTCAAACAACAATGTCTGAATCACGTTTGCTCCAGTTAGGGAACACCAACAAGTTGAAAGACGGCTTTGGTTATTTAAAATCCTACTACATTCACTTGCAACTTTGCAGAACATGCATGCTTTCATGGACTGGATTTTTTAAAGGAGAGGAAGACAAAAAGGAAAACAAACAAACAAGCGAGTTTGCGGCCCAAGTCCCTCCTTTGCTATTTACTGCAGTGAGTTTTCCTACTCCGTTTTGCTGGCGAAAGCACGCTCAACAGATCAAATCAAACTGTCCGAAAAAGGCTGTCTGCATCCCTCATGTTTAAGGGAGAGGGATTTCGTTCCCTTTCCTTCACACATCAAAGAAGGCACTCGGGGAGGAAGTAAACCATAATTAGGCATGAGCAAGGGAGCAACAGACCCCTTCCTCTCCTTTCCCTATCCCCGCCCCCCAGGCCCTGGCAATAGTCCGGGGCGCGAGCGAGTCGCGGGCCACCGAAGCAGCCGCAGGGAGCGCGCGTCCACGCCTCGCCCACCGCCAAGATCTGGGCGGCGGCGGGGCCGGCCCGGGGGCGCGCGCGCTGGGGAGCGCGCTCATGCAGCGGTTTTCTTCTCCCACAATCCAGAGGCTGCGGTGCGGGAGGGGCGGGGAGTCGGCGGAAGGATATGGGCGCGGAGGGAGCAGCGCGCCCCTTTGACGGCGGGCTGGCGGCGGGCTGGAGGCGCTGGTTGGGCGGCGGGGAGCGGGGTGTGATGCGGCACTGCGGTTCTGAGGCCGTTACTCTGGCTCCTCCAGAGAGGGCGGAGAAGGAGGCTGTAACGCGGCGGTGATTTTGTGCCAGGGCTTCCCTGAGGCGCACTGAAAAGGCTGGCGGGGCTCGGGAAACTGGGGGGTTAGGGACACACATTCAAGCCCCCACCCCCTGGGAGGGGAAGGGGGCAGGCGGCGAGGCTTGGGGTCGACGGAGGGATGGTGTGCGGTCGGTGGGAAGGGGCGAGCCCTGCCTGTCGTTGGTGAGGGGCTGCGGGCAGGGGAGGCTCCGCGGGTCAAAGCGGCTCCATGCCCACTTTGGTGGGTGGAACGTGTGGAGCGGAACGCGGAGGTAAAGCCTGACGGCCGCTCGCAACCCTTAACGTGGTATCTAACGTGGGATTTCATTTAGCCCACGGGGGGATTAATTCATTGGGGGCAGCCTCGCTGGCTCCTCCAGGAGCTGGGCAACCTTGACGGGCTTTTTGTCTTGCTGCTCCAACCCCTTCTCCCTTCCTCCTCCTCCTCCAGATGCCTTTTCTCTGCCCCTCCTCGCCCGGTACAGACATTTACAGGGCAGGCTGCTGCTCGTGGCTGCTGTCGAAGCCACTTCTCGGGATTTCGGCTCGTTTCCCTCTGGGGTGTTTTTTGAGGAGGGAGAGTTTTTCTCCCCGCCACGATGGGATTTTCTTCCCGTGCCAAAATGGACTTTCATTGATTTCTACTTACTTCTTCAACGTTTAGTGACCAATTCCCTAGGGTTATTTTTGTGGTAGTTCCTTTTTTCAAGTACATTCTCTGTAAAATGGAGAACGAGATTTTTACTCCCCTTCTGGAGCAGTTCATGACCAGCCCCTTGGTCACTTGGGTAAGTGGGGTGTTATTTATTGTATATTTTGCTGCATTATTTGTGGCTGCAGAGATGGAGGTGGGCGTTCGTGTCGTGATGATCATCATTCTGTTCTAGGTTAAAACGTTTGGACCTCTGGCTGCAGGAAATGGGACCAACCTGGATGAATATGTGGCTTTGGTGGATGGGGTGTTCTTGAACCAAGTCATGCTCCAAATGTAAGTGTTCTTTTTTTTTTCTTTCTAGGCAACTTTTTTTTTTTTTTAAACTTGCATACTGTGAACTTAGAGGCTTTATGTTTTAAGATCCTAATTTAGTTTTTTGGCGAGAAAAATTCAGGTGGTTTAAGAATTGGACCTTGAAAGGAGTGATAATCTTACATTTATCAGCCCATTTATCACAAGCCAGTAATTATACGTGTTAAAATTGTGAAACTTTAATTTTTCATTCTGCAAATCATGTATTGTCACTTATTTTCTTCAATGCTGAAATCCAAACCACATTGTATCCTCTGATAATTTTGTAAAATGAAGAGGGAAATTACAATAGTTTCCTAAGGGAGAAAAAGGCTTTACTGTGAAGTTATGTGCATTTGGTGCAGAAATGTTTCTTATTAACCTTTGTGTCTAAAAATAAATGGCTCAAAATTTGAAACTGGTGAAGTAATAACAGATTTCAGAGGAAAGAATTTCAAACAACAGTTCTGATTGGTGAGGACTGTTGCTGTAGGAAGTACTTTAAATGCATATAATAACTAAAGTCTGATTAGGTGATTTATTGTGTGAATTAGTAGATTAATATTTGGGGAATCATTTTAAGGTATTCTTAGAGCTAGTTTTGAAATGCAGGTGGTTGAAATCTTGGTGACAACTGGCTAATGATTTAGTAGGTAAATCTTTGTCTTTTATGTTCATGATATTGGGTTTAAATTAAGTAGGAAAGTGATTTTGAGGTGGCAATTGAATATCGAAATCATTGGTAGCTGGATCAGTGAAATCAAAGCTCCATTTTTATCATAGTTATTGTAGTATATGTGCATTCTCAGCACATCAGTGTAGTGAATATTACAGTTGTGCTTAAAATAATGTGTGTTTAGCCTTATTTGTCTTGAATACAAACTGATTACAAGAGTAGTTTGGAACTTTCAATTTTAAGACATTCTTATGTTTTATATGTTTGGGAATTTAGTACATTATTAATAAATAATTGTTACCAGAGAATAAATCTACTGTTAATAGACTAATAACCTAACATGTAAATGATCAGTTCAGTATTTTTTTTGGTATTAGTTTTCTTTTTAGATTTTTCTACTTAAAAGAAGGTATAAGTCAAATCCATAAATAACTGTTCCACTGGTAAACTTAACAGTCTGTGTACTCAAAGAGACTCGTAGTTTATATGCTCAAAGAGATTTTTGTGCTGTTTTTCATGTATGTGTTGATCCTACAGGGAAGTATTATACTACTACATGTTTTCCAGAAGTGTTTTGTGTAGGCACCCAAAGAAATATATGTTATCTGAATGTGTATGTATATTTTTTTTCTTAAAGAAGGAAAAGGGAATGTAGACATTAATTATTTCCAGGAATAATAAATATATTTTGGGCTGCTCTCCCATGGAACTATCTTTAATCTTTGAAATATCCCACTATTTCCCAAGCAAAATGGTAGAATAATTAAACTGACTTCTATTTTAGGGAACACAAATGACAGGAAGGGTAGCCATTACAGTAGATACTCAGAACTTGTTCCCCCTATGTCTCTTTTCTTGTTTGTTTTTGGACAGAAGATTGTGAGTTTGTATGCTGAACCCTAAAAAAACAGTGTGCTCACAAAAATAGGAAAATACATTACTTTAGTTTTCCCCTTTAATGGTTTTTATTTGAATGATTCTTTTTCCAAAAAACACTTAGATTTTTTGAATCCTAAATTGTTAGCCAAGGTGCTAAAAACAGACACTTCAGCTTGTTTCCACTTTGGGTACAGCTTTATACTTAAAATATATATGTGTCTATATTTTGAAAGTAATGGTGTCCCAAAATAGTGGTTGCCAGGTTGTTTTTTTGGGAGGAGTAGCTCCATTCCAAACCTCAAATCTGCTTCTGTTTTCAATTCCACCTCTCAGTTTCTTTAAAAGTTTTTTCAGTGTCCTAATTCTGTTCTGAATGACCTATATAAATTAAAAGAAAAGAAAATTTTAAAAAGGAAGACGTATGTTTTAGCTTTTTAAAAACTATCTTTCTAAAATAAGATCGACACAAATTACCTAATTATTTACCAAATAGGGCAACAAAATACATTGTTTTAAAAGCTACATTTTACTAATTTTGAAATCATTAAGATTTCTATTAAGCACTTTGCTCAAATTAATGTTTGATTTAATATACTCTATTAAATTGTCAGTTGAAATGGTACCCAGTAAGTTAACCTAAAAGTTAGCTTCAGTCTGAGTAATTTCTAGATTACATTTGGTTATAGAATTTGTGAGCGAGAACCGTTTGTAAATGCAGCATGTGTATTTTCCTTCATGTTTCTTGTGCTTGGAGTTCATTGAGCTTCTTGGATCTGTGGTTTTGTAGTTTTTACCAAATTTGGAAAAATTTTGGCCATTATTTCTTTAAATATATATCCTTTCTTTGCCTCCTTTCCTCCTTTTGGAAGTCCAATTATATGTATATCAGGCTGCTCGATGTTCACTGATATACCATTCAATTTTTTTTTTCAGTCTTTTTTTCTCTGTTTCACTTTGGATAATCTTGCTAAATTCATTAATCTTTTTTTCTGTAATGTTTAATCTGCTGTTAATCCCATCCAGTGTATTTTTCATTTCAGGTACTGTAGTTTCATCTCTAAAAATTCAGTCTTTTTTATATCTTCCCTGTGTATAGATTTCATGCTTTGTCTTTTCTGTAGCTTCTTGAACATGTAGAATACAATAATAACTGGCTTAAAGTTCATGTTTACTAATGCTGTCTGTGCCATTTCTTGATTGGTTTTGATTGATATTTTTCCTCATTATGGATTGTGTTTTCTTGCTTTTTCATACCTGGTAATTTTTGATTAGATGCCAGACATTTGAAAATTTACTGTGCTGTTGGGTGCAGGATATTTTTGTTTCCCATTAAAAATATTCTTGAGCTTTGTTCTGGAATGTAGTTGTTATTTGGAAACAGTGATCTTTTCAGATCTTGCTTTTAAGTTGTGTTAGGCAGTACCACTTTGCTTTGTTGCACTGCTGAGGCAGAACCCTTCTGAGTACTCTGGCTGGTGGAAACAGGAACTATTCCTGGACCTGTGTGAGCTCTGGGTGGTGTCCCTCTAATCCTTTTTGGTGGTTCTTTCACTGTCCGTGTGTAGTTTCCTCACACGTATATACTTATAAGTACTCAGCTGAAGACTTGAGGGATACCCTGTGTAGATCTCTGGATCTTTCTGAGCAGCTCTCTCTTAGGTACTCTGCTTTGTATATGACAGTCACCTTGCTGTCTCCATACTACGTTCTGTCTCCTCAACTCAGGGAGACCACTATGTGTGCTCTGCATAGGTTCCCCATTCCTGTTCTGTGGCCTAGAAAACTCTTTCAAGGCAATAAACTGGGGCAATTGTAGGACTTATCTTGTATGTTTACCCCTTATCAGGGATCTACTGTCCTTTGCTGCCTGATGACCACTGTTTTGAAAAACGCTTCATATGTTTTGTCTTTTTTTTTTCCCAGTCGTTTCAGGCAGGAGGGTAAATTTGGTTCCTTTTATTTCATGTTGGCTAGAAGTGGAAATCTGTTTATATACTTATAATTACATTTTTGCCCTGCCAGCCTTGTGTTCCTGCTTTCAGATATAGATATAGATTTAGAATTTTGTTTAGGAGCCTTATGGTAGAATTTTTTTTTGGTCTAAAGAGTTTTTTAAGAGTAAGAATATTGGTTAGTTCAGTGACTCTGGATTTGGTATTTTTGACCTAGAATTTGAAAGTAAAGAGCTGACTTCTTCGTGCCAGTTTATGACTCTGCCTTATAATTTCAGAGTCTGTTCACTTATTTGGGATTCAGTGTATTCAGAGATGAATCCTGGATTTCATTGAGTAGCTCCTGAATCAAAGAATCTCTGTAAGAGCTTGTGACATGGCATCAGTTCTCTTTAACTAATGGGAAGAGGAAGCTATTTAGAGATGGGCCAGCTCTTCTGCATGCTGCAGGGCATTTTCCTACTTCAACCAAACGAAATCTTTTTTCCGCAGTGCTAGCTATCAGACATAGGGCTTGGTGACAGTGAAGTGGAAATAATCATTTTCCTGTTTGAGATGTCATGCAGTTTTGCAACCAATGTAGAATATTACTTGCTATGAATTTTTAAGGAATTTGTGACATTGTAGTTGATTTCATAATCCTAGTCATATTACCTAAGCAGTTGAAAATATGGATATGTTATAGTTTTAAGTACGGAAAAATTGTTAATAGTATCAGAACAATATTTGGAATTACTTTCTATGATTCAACCCCATTAGATAGCTACAGAAATCTCTACTTGAATAATGTAGTAATTGTGATATACTTGTTATGGCATTTCTTCTTTTAGAATCTTGAATTTGAAGGTACTTTAGAAATCATCTATGAAAATCATTCTTATATGACACATGGTCATCCAACTTCTGCTTAAGTGTTTCCTGAGAAGCAGCTTCATAAAGTGTACCCAAAGGAGCCATTTAATAGAGGAAGTTGACTGAGAAATCTTCCTTCATTCTATCAGTACTTAAGATTCAAAAATAGATTGTGCTAACTTTATGACTATAATAACCCCAAAGTGACTTATAAAATATATAAGTTGTCTTACCAGGTATGGCATTAACTCTGAATTTTGGTATGGTCTCTCTCATACAATTTTTTTTTTTTTTTTTTTTT